TAACATTTTCTGAAGACTAATTTAAGTTTGTCCATTTCTAGCTCGTTTATTAAAAGGGACATTCAAGTGAAAGTCCGGTCCCATTTATCCGATTGATATCACTTCTTTACTACAGGGTTTCGAATTTCGGTTAGATGAACAAATCTCATAATACCTAATGTTGAGAATCATGCTGATTTGTAGTCAGATAATAATTAAGTATAAAACTACAAGGCTAGACATTTGAAGTTCAGTCCATTTTTTTTTGTAATTGCGAATTTATATGGTCGATAACTCAATAAATTCTACACAAAGCATCTGATATCGTATTCCTACTCACTTTATTTAACAGCTATTAACACCTTTCTAAAGGGCTATATTTCTCAAAACATTTAGTTAACCCTCATTACGCACATCAAAGACTTTTCCTACGGTGCCCATTTATATATTTTCTTTTAAAAAGTTTTGCTACTTCTATCAACACCTTGTTGCTTTCACATATACATTTTTATACAAAAAGGGTTATTTTTAAGGGTTATAATTATTCTCAAATTTATGTAATTTAATCTAATTTTTAAAAGTTAAATTGACAAAGGCTACCCAAAAGTGAACAAAAATTAAAACGAACTTTATTGAAAAAACTACAATACATGAGATACTTTTATATAAAAGGTAACATTTTAAAGGCAGTAAGTACCTTCTAGTCCACTTGAAGTCCATCCCAAGCCAAATAGGCCAAAGTTTAATGATGTCCAATTAAGGAAGTCCTATTTATTAGACAAATTTATTATATTGGGTGATTTTAATATTGGTAATCAAGTGAGCTGGAACATTGAAAACGCATGTGATCCGTCCGACGCCGTCAAATTGTACTTCTCAATACATAACTGATTTTTATGATACTGTTCTTACCTGTAATCTATCACAATATAATAATGTATGTAACGTAAATGATAGGTTGTTGATTCTCGTCTTTTACAATGGATTATTGATAGTCGAGGAATGTGACGTTCCATTAGCAGCTCCAATAGATTTACACCATAAACCCTTGCATATTGAGACAGATTTTGTGGAAATTCATAGCTTTGAAGAAAACATAATACCTTAATATCTGTTCCACAAGGGGGACTACAACGCTATTAAGTCTGCACTAGATGATACTAACTGGCATACCCTGTTGACTACTGGTTCTCTGGAGTATTCGGTGATCATTCTTACAGTAAATTATATGCTCTAAGAGAAAAACTTATACCCATTAAATCCGTATGACATAATTCACACCCGCGTTGGTATAATTCTGCGCTTATAAAACTCTTAAAAGAAAAATCAAACCATCATCGTAGGTTTAAATTATATGGTAATCAAAGTGACTATTTAACGTTTTCTTTACTCTGTCGGCGAGCAATTGAACTAGAAAAAGCTTGTTTCAATGAGTACATAAATAAAGTAAAACAATCTATTTAGAAAAACCCAAGGCCTTTTTTGGTCTCTTATTAAAAGCAAGAAAAGCACATCATCACTTCCTAGTTCGCTATACTATAGAGATGCAACTGCGGAAAATGGTGTAGAAATTAGTAACTTATTCGCTATGTATTGTAAATCGACTTTTCAGGATCAACAAAATATAAATACGAATCGTACGCATCACCACACTGATATACATAGCTGTACAAATTATATTAGTTCAATTAATGTTTCTGCAGATAAGGTATTAAACCTCCTGAAAACCCTAGACCTTTCCAAATCTGGTGGTCCCGATTACATTCCACCGATCTTTATATTATGTCTAGTAGATCGTTGACAGAGGGCATAGGTCTATTGATCTGGAAATCTGCCTTCATAACTCCTGTATTGAAGTAAGGCGATAAATCTAACATCGATAATTATCGCTCAATTTCAAAGTTATGTTTATTTGCAAAAGTGCTTAAACAGGTTGTTTATAATGAGGTTTATTTGGCGATCCAGAATATGTTCAGTAGTGAACTACACGGTTTCCTTCGTAAACGTGCTACTACATTAAATCTAATATGATCTCACGATTTCATATCCAAAGGTTTGGAACAGAGGGCACAAGTAGATGTGATATACACCGATTACATGAAATTTACTGATTACATAAATTTTATTGCAAAAAATTCTTGGCGCTGGAATACATGGCGATTTATATAATTGGTTTCATTCCTATGGTGACAATCGGTCTCAGGCGGTAGTGGTCCAAGGTTTTACCTCTTGTTGGTGTTCTAAGATGCCCCAGGGATCAATTTTAGCCCCCCTGCTATTCATTATATTTATTACAGATATTGATAGCTGTTGTATACGGTGAAGATGTGAAAATTCTTCAAACAATATTCATAATTCCTCTAATGTCGAGCAGACAGTAACCCACTGCAAAATATATAAGCTTGACCTAAACGTGGCTAAATGTTGCTATATCTCCTTTACAGGCCGAAAATCTACAATTGGATCTGGGTAAAAATTAAATAATGAATTTATTAAAAAAGTAGATCAAATTAGGGACCTTGGTGTGGTAATAACAGATTCGAAACTGTTATTTGATATGCACGTCGATCTTATCACAAATCAAGCGTTGAAAGCACTGAGTTATGTAGTGAGAATGTCTACATGTTTCCGATCTCTGACTAGTTTAATTTTTATAGTTCCGATCTCGAACTATAAAAATTAAACTGCGTATATGTCCGTAGTACTTCTTGAATACGCGTTACAGGTATGAAAACCACAAAATCAAGTTTACAAATCGATAGATTTATAAAATAGATTTTAAAACGCAACAATACTCTGCCGATTACAATCAACGTTGCAAGCGTTATCATTTCTCGCCTATAGAACAGAAATGAACTGTTTATGACATACGTTTCTTGATAAACATCGCCAATGGTACCATTGATTGTCCAGAATTGCTGAGCAATATCACACCTGGAACGAATCAATTAGTTTTTAGACATCGTCCCCTATTACACGTTCCCTTTGCTGTAGCGTGCGGCTGAGAGTTATAATGATGTGGCATCAAAAGTAGACTTGGATCTGTTTTGTACAAACTCAACTACAGTCAAAAGAATTTTCAGTAAATATTTCTTTGGCAGCGACCGGTAGAAACACCTACTGAATTACCTTGTTATCTGTCTTAATTATTCATTTTCATTTTGTTCTTATCGTGTTAGTTTTTGGTTTTTATTTTTTAAATTAACACATGCTGTTCAGATCAATTGGAAATATTGTTTATAACTGTGGTTTATTATAAGCAAATTATAGCCTGTGAAGACGTTAAAGACAGACCTTCACAAGGAATGGAAGGAAAGCCTACAGCAAGCACACCAGGAGGGTGCAGATATCAAGCCGATTCTCGAGTGGCTTAGAGCTGATACTCCTATGCCTCACAATTTGTGGATCACACAAGGTGTCGTCCCGTCGAATCTATTGAATCTGCTTTGAAAGGCTGTTTTCAAAGTCTTAAAACAATAATAAGCCCTGTAGGCGTTTATCGTAATTGAAAATTAGATTTAAATCAGATTTCTTTTAAAATACGACGGACAAAGCGGTTAGAACAAAATTGATAACCTCATTTATTTTAACTTCAGCTATATTGGAAAGGCAAAAATAACGCCAAGTGTGTACCGTGTAGTCTTAATAAACAATAACAATCAAATCAGACAAAAGCATGCTTTTACATATTAAAAGTGTTTAATAAATTCAGCGGCTCATAATGTCTAAAAACGGGTCCAAATAGAACGATATCAACTGAAAAAGGAGTTATAAAGGCCAGTTTCACAAGTAAAGTTTGAAAAAATATTATTTTTTGAGTACCACTGCGTGTACAATAATATGGATTGTATAATAATAAAGAATGATACCCAGAGAATGTGAGAATGATACGTCACGAATTATTTTGAAAGCTGCAGTTTCGTCGTAACGGTTACGGTTACAGAATCTCCAAATATTATGTATGAGCTGTTATTCGATAGCAAATTAATCATTGAGTTATATTATATCAATGAAATTAATAATAAAACCTACTGCGATACCCTTTTTAGTTTCTTACCCGCTTGCGTAATCTATAAAATGCTACTATCTTCACATTGTTTACTTTGATAGCATACTACATACCTGGCTATTAGGCCACAGAGACAGTCACTTATATACAATACTGTAGTATACCGTATAATATATTTAGCCATATATTTAATTTAACATATTTTTTTATCATAGGTGTTACACACTACATGTTCCAATATAAAAGAGAAATAACTACAATATAAATATAATATAAATAAGACAAGTGCGTTTTGTTATTGTTTATTATAAAACGTCACTTGACCTATTCAATGACACCTCAAATGGTGGGATGGATGAATATAAAAAACTTGAGGACCTTAAACTGGAGGAATCTAAAAAAAATCAAGATTTTTTACCTCTTTATTGGAGTGATTAGATGTATATTCCTGCGACGATGCAGGTTTCTAGCACTAATAGTGTGTGGTCGGACTGATGGACATCACGAAACTATAAGGGTTCCGTTTTTGCCATTTTGACTACTGTAACCTAAAAAAATCAAATCAAATTAAAATCAAATTGTTATTCATAGTATTTATAGTTCAAGGTTGCTTATTATCGTCGTGTATCTTAATTCGTAATTTTGTTGAAATTAAGTCGATAAAAAGAAGTTTATAAGGCTTCTCTGAGTAACCGAGACGTTACGAGTAAAATTAAAAAAATAAAATACTTTCTAGACTGTGTTAACTAAAGAAGAGCCTAGTTAAAAATAACCCTCAAGCATGAGTGAAAGGTTTGATTAAAATCGAAGAGACACAAGATATATTAGGAACTTGCAGTCTCAGTAGTCCTACCCCGGACCAGGATAAATTGTGCTCACGACTTATTCCCCATTTGGCGGTTTGTTTTCCAAGTCGTAAGAAAATATGTTTTTATGTAAATCCTGGATAATATATTTTAATTCAAATACAGTGAGTCTTGTCTAAAATAAAGTAAAAATTTGGTTGGTACAGATGGGTGGTGCGTTGGCTGCTGACGGTGGCAGCATGGGGCGCGCTCTGCGGTGGTGGGCGCGCGCACACACCGTCGCTCTCACCTGCCATAACGCCGCCCTGTCCGACACACTGCATCTGTTTATCGCAGTCGCAGGTATATATTAAATACTATTAAAAATGTTATAGGTATTCGATATGCATTACTGTATGCAACACTGTCGATGCTTAACTTCGAAGCGAGTCACCTCTTGTAAATACCTAGGGCTAGTGGTGGATGATACATTCACATATAAGCAACTCGTTCTATCTTATGTAAATTAAAAAACTTTCTATTTGTTGTCAGTAGAAAATTAGTGTATCCGTTGTATTATGTCTTGGCTAACGCAAGCGTCCAGTACGGTTGCACCCAAACCCTAGTCCCTAGTTTCGTGGCTCAATGACAGGACAGGCAGACGATTAAATGACTTCGGTTTCTTTAAGCTACTGCATTCTCACCCATTAGCTCACTAGTTGTATTTGCGGTTCTTAACCCAATTTGGCTTCTTTCTTTGCATCGACTGAAAACCATTATATTTCCAAGAAGGGCAGGCGGCCGACCAAAAGAAACCAGACAAAACCCTTTGCAATGTTATACATCGAGCACAAAGAAAATTTGGGTAGGGCAGGTAGATGATGATAATCTTGATTAATGTACTTGCAGACAGTTTAGTTTTTGGGTTGTCGTAACATTAATAGCTATACCGCTTTAGTCGTAAACGGTCTGTAAAAGAATTTTTGAAGTAAAACAGGTGCGTAATGAAATTAGCACCTTTTAACAAACTCTAGGTACAACATTTTAATATAATACTTGTATTTTATTTTTAGTAAATTTACAAGGGCTTTACTTAATTTATGTTCGTGGAAGAAGTTAAATTGAATATTCTGCTTGTAAAACATTCTGACAAAAACTAGGTATATAATTATTGAACTTAAAGACAAAGAAACAACATCTTATAGTATTTAAAGCAAACACAAGAACTTTTGATTTAAAAACGATTTTACATACACATGTATTGGTTTTCTTGTAATTAGACAATAATGTATAAAAGAATTCATTTTTGACTGCCTCGGTGGTGCAGTGGTAGCGTATGCGACTGCTGTGCTGAGATCTCGGGTTCGATACTCAGGTCGGATGAAATGTTTGTATGATTTGCAAATAATTGTTTCGGCGCTTGGGTGTTTTCTGTTTATAATATGTATGTATTAGCAAAAAGAAAATGTATAAAAGTATTCTATCAGTCAATTTAGCTTTCACAGTACACGTTTTGATTAGTTTGAAACTAATTGGCGTTGTGTATCAGATGTCCCAAAATATGATTATTATAATGATTAGTTTCACCGATAGGAAGTGATGCGCTCGTTCACGAAGCTGTCTCGAGCATCGCAACATTTGTTGTAGTTTGATAGTACTAGAGGAGACAGATGGTAATCGCGGTCACTTGTCATTTTAAAAATAGAGCTAGCCATCTTAAAACGATATTTCAAATCTATAAATTATAATATATATAATATTGATTGTGTGGTAATTAGTGTTTTTCCTGGAATATTGGAAAGCAAGACTGCTTTCTAATATGCGTCTGTTAAATACCGAATATGGTATTTTGAACTGTTGAACTCAGCTTGTTGTAAATACTAGGTGTTTAGAAATAAAACAACTGTATTTTGATCTAGGTTGTCCTGCTGGTCGATTTTATTAAAAACTGGTTAGGGTTATATGGTACACTCGGGAAGAGAACCATACCGCGAGTCAGCGGAACGGTACAACGCCCTCTATCGAGGTTGACCTCAAACATTTATTAGTATGTAATGTTTTGATACTTAACATACCGCCCGCTAAGGACATTATTGACAGAATGTCCTTCGAAGTTTTTGACATTACAATTTGGTCTTGCTTAAGCTACTTAAATACAAACCGCAACTATACAGAGCTAACTTACAAAAATAGAGTAAATAATAATATCTCAAATAAAACATTACCTACCTTACATTGTAACTAAGAAATACATCCAAGCCCTAAAACGAAGGAATGTAGAAAAATAAACAAAATATATCTTTTTAATCTAAAATAAGGTAAAAGTTGATATAAATGTAAAAGTTTTATAAGTATCTACTTACCAGTTGTATAATAAGAGATGATTTAAAATAACAATAAATAAATTAAAAAACATAATACAAAACAATAGTAAAAAAAAATACTCAAAAAAATGAACTGAAGTGACTATTCGGCTACGGGCAATAGACATAATTTGGACGTTGGTCGTTTAATTACCGAACATTTCGTGCGTACCGTGACTACCCGAGTAATATTGTCATCACCAGGATGTTTTTCTATTATGCGACCCAACAACCAACGACAGGGTGGCAAATCGTCTTCCTTCACTAAAACTATGTCACCTATATTAGGTTCTGGGACACGGGAAGACCACTTGTAACGGTTCATAAGGTTGGATAAGTACTCATGAGACCAACGACTCCAAAACGATTGCAACATTCTTTGGATCAATTGCCAACGCGATAAATTACTAAAGGTTGCACTCTCGTATTTATTGTCTGGAACACTAACTATGGGCTCTCCAATCAAAAAATGTCCGGGAGTTAATGGAAGAGGTTCACCCGGATCAACTACATTGATAACGCTCATTGGCCTGGAGTTTAGACATGCCTCAATTTGGCTCAATAGTGTACTCATTTCTTCAAAGGTTAGTGTCGCATCGCCAATCACTCGCTTAAGGTGAAATTTTGTGGATTTCACTCCTGCTTCCCAAAGTCCGCCAAAGTTGGGACTGTGAGGAGGAATGAAATGCCATTCAGTGCCCTGCATTTCTAAATTTTCTGCAACTTCTCTCTGTATACTGGACAACTGCTTTAGTTCTCTAGACGCGCCTACGAATGTAGTACCGTTGTCACTCCAAATTTTGGCACAGTGACCTCGCCGAGCGACAAAGCGTCGGAATGCCGCCAAAAATGCTTGTGTGCTCATATCGCTTACCACGTCTAAGTGTAGAGCGCGAGTAGCCATACATACAAACAAGCAAATGTACCCTTTATAAGAACGATGACCACGTCCTTTCGTAGTCCTAATGTTAATGGGTCCAGCATAATCAACGCCGCTATTCGAAAATGGTCTGGCTGGAGTGCAACGTACAGATGGAAGGGAACCCATGAGCTGATTTCTGGTAAGAGCCTTTTGTTTGGCGCAAGTAACGCACTTATTGATTTGTTGTTTTATTAGGCTTCTAGCTCCTAAAACCCAATAAGCTGACCTAAGATAGTTAGTCATCAACTGAAGACCTCCATGCAGAGTTTGAACGTGAGAATTCGCCACAATGAGACGTGTAAGATGACTATCATGTGGAAGAACAATAGGGTGTTTGATGTCCTGACTCATTGATGACTTCTCAAGTCTACCTCGAGCTCTAATTATTCCCTTGTCGTCAAGATAAACACAGAGTGATTTTAGTTTGCTACTCTTTGATTGTATATAGCCCTTGTCCTTTAACTGTTTGTATTCTGTTGTGAATATTTCCTTCTGTACCTTTATTATACAACTATCTAGTGCTTCTCCTAATTCTTGCCTTTTCAAATAACTCCTTTCTTTTCCGTGCTTTAAAAACCGTCGGCAATATGCGATTACTCTCAACAGTTTTTGAAGACTAGAAAATCTCTCAAAAATACACTGTTCTGGAGTAGTTGCCATATGTATCTTTACGGATTGTTCTAACGCTGTGCTCATATGATTGGACTTATTGTACTTAATGTTTCTTTCTTTCAGGAAAGGAGGTCCATCAAACCATAGTCTATCTTCTAATAATAAACTAGGCAATAGACCTCTGGAGGCACAATCTGCTGGATTGACTGTCGTTGAGACATGGTACCATTGAGAACTGTTCATCGTTGTCAATATTTCTGCAGTTCGATTGGCCACAAATGTCTTCCAACGACTTGGGTGGCTGCTTAGCCATGCCAGTACGACTGTGGAATCGGTCCATGCTGTGACCTTATCACCACTAATATTTAGGACTTGTGCCGTTTCAGTCAGAAGTTTGGATAATAATACTGCACCACACAATTCTAACCGCGGAACACTTATCTGTTTAATTGGGGCCACTCGTGTTCTCGCTACTAACAACGAAAGTCTTACTTCACCATTAGCATCTATTATACGCAAGTAAACTACAGCAGAGTAAGCAACTTTAGAGGCGTCACAAAATCCGTGAAGTTCCAGATCGCCACCTGCATTAGTGCCAAGCCAACGTGGTATTCGAACTGAGGTAAGTAGATTCAACTCTTGACGGTAACTACCCCACTCTTTTATTAGGTCTTCATCCAAATTGTCATCCCAACCTACACCTGCTAACCACAACCTTTGAATAAAGATCTTAGCCACAATAACGCTGGGAGCTAACCACCCCAATGGATCGAACAACCTGGCTATATCTGATAGCATAGATCTCTTCGTTATAGGTGTAGATGTGCATGGTGGCAGATCGACTACATATTGGAAGCTATCTTCGATACGGCTCCAGGTAAGTCCCAAAATTTTGATTGTACCATCCATTTTAATTTGTACCCCCTTCTCCACTTCTTGAACTATATTTTTTGTCCTATTGTCAATAGTTTGTCCTTGTGATTCCTCCATTGAATTGATTTCTTCTAATAGTTTTTATTATTCGTATTCCACTTTTGCAAGGTAAAACCACCTTTTTTCAGTAAACTTGTCAATTCTTGATAGATTTCTAAGCCATTTTGAACGCTGCAACACCCTGTCATCAAATCGTCCATATAAAAGCAATTTAGTGCCATATTGGAAGCCATAGGGTACTTATCCCCTTCATCATAAGAAATCTGATGTAGAGTACGAACAGCTTGATAAGGAGCAGATGCAGTACCGAAAGTCACGGTTTCTAGTTCGTAGTCCTTAATTACATCTTGAGGGCTGACCCGCCAAAGGATCCTTTGATACATAGCATCTTCTGGCGCTATTCTTACCTGCCGGTACATCTTAATTATGTCTGCTACTAGCGCAATAGGGTGGACTCGCCATTTCATAATCGTATGCCTTAAATCGGCTTGCAATGTCGGTCCGATCATAAGGGTATCATTAAGAGATACGCC